GGACTTCCCTCTTGTATTTTTACAGCCAGCCTCCCTCTGCCTTTCTCCAGAATGTACACCAGGCAGGCCTTTCATGGCTGGCTGCTTACAGAGCTAGAAGAGGAGGAATTGGAAGCATCCCTATAGTAAATACCACAGTACAGTAGTTTTTCTTTTTCTTTTTTTTTTTTTTTTTTTTTTTGTGAAAAACCACACCTCAAAAAACACTTTAATTCCAGCCTAACAGCACCAGGTGCAATGTCTGGGGACAGACTCTGGGTACAATGCTGTGTGGCAACCACGCATTCACACACGTCTCCAAGAAGGCCCCCAAAGGGGGAATTACCTTTGGGGATTGAGCCAAAGGGGAGGGGCGGCCCCAGAACAGGGGCAGGGGCAGGCGCAGGCCTGGGGCAAAGATGCTACTTCTTGGCAAAGGAGATCTTCATGGCATTGTTCTGGGTGATCTTAAAGCCCTGCAGGGCATCTCGAGCGGCCCCGGCCTGCACTTCGTTGTCAAACTCCACAAAGGCGATATCATGCCGCCCGGGCACCAGGCGGACCTCCTTGAAGCCAGGGAACTGGTTGAAAAGCATGGACAGCATGAGCTTGTTGGTCTCTTCTGGCAGGTTGGTCAGGAACAGGATGTGATTTGGTGGATTCTCCGAGAGAGGCTGGGCAGGTGGCATCCGCCCTGGCATAAGCTGCTGTGGGGGCATGGCCCCAGGAGGAATCTGGCTGAGTGCGAAGCCTGGAGGTGGGATCATGCCAGGAGGTGGCATGTAGGGTGGCTGGCCCAGCATGTGATGCATGATGTGGGGAGCCTGAGTCATGGGTGGCATGCCCGGGACAGGGCTCTGGACAGCTCCCACCACAGGGGCTGCAGCCCCACCCTGCACAGCCTTCTTGGCAGATGGGGTCTCCTGGCTCTTGGGCTTCCTCTTCTCCCGTTTGCGGTCTCGCTCCACAAAAGTACCCTTCATCTTGGCAATGATATCCGAGTCGGTCTTGGCATACTGAATGCGCATTGGCTTGTCGTAGAAAGGGAAACCTTGTATGGAGCGCAGGGCATTGGTGGCACTGCTAACTTCCTTGAAGATGACAAAAGCCTGCCCTCTCATCTTCAGGCTCCGAGACACCAGAATATCCAGGATCTGGCCAAACTGGGAGAAGATGGCATACAGGGACTTCTTCAGCTCATCTTTCTTGATCTTCTCATTGAGGTTGTTGATATAAATAGTGTGATTCGGGCAGGTCTCAGGAACTGCCATGGTAGGGCAACAGGGCCGCAAGTCCCATGAGCACCGATGACCCTACAGTAGTTTTTCTTAAATAAGTATTTCTTAATTTGCTGTAAAATTTCAGAATTCTTAAATGGTTGGTTTTGACTGACAGTTTTGTCTTTTTTTTTTTTTTTTTGTCTTTGGAGAAAAGATTTATCAAACTCCTCACTGTGCGATTTCAGAAATCCGATTAATTCATATTTGCATCCCTTTGGCTGGGGTTGTAGCTTAGTGGTAGAGCACTTGCCTAGCATATATACAAACCCTGTGTTTTGTCTCCAGCA